CAGAAGATGAGGAACCATGCCTCACATCAGCCCTATTTTTTGATTGTATTCCCACTCGAACTCCTATTTCTCTGTATGAAGCCCTCCAACGTTTCCCTTTTCTTTTATGGCGAGGCTACTTCTGTTGTAAAGGTCAAACACAACCACCTCTAGCAGGCAAAGAAAGACACGAGATCCCAAAAAAACGAGAGAGGAGTTGATCCCAGCTGGGTGACTTCTCTGAAGACTTCCCAGTGCCTCTCCCCGCAGCCACGTGGTTTCATTGTGAGCCTTGTCAGAACGATCTCCACCCACCTAACGCTGTTTTTGTTGGCTGTGCTGGTCTTCTGGAGTTTGTTGTATGTTTTCAGAGATGTGTGTCTGTAAGACCTCAAGTTTATGTTGTATCTGTAGTGTTCAAAGGGGGATTTAGAGCCCGGTCACCTCCACCTTGAGGGACATGGTCAGTGGGCACAATGGGGATGGCTTGGGGTTGGACTTGGAGATCGTAGTGGTCTTTTCCAACCTTAATGAGTCCTTGTTTCTATGGTTTTGACTGGTGGATTTTCTATGCTTCCAAAATAGCATGTCTGCTCAGACGCTCGGGCTGTTCCTAGTGGTTGGGGTAGACTTGAACCTTAGTGACAGAAAGGAATAAAAGAGATGTGAATCATTTCATTTTCGTTTTCAGAAGTGAACATGACATCTTGTTCTCTTCTCCTCCGAGAAAAATGCAAATAAAAATGAAACTGGAGCCAAGTGAAACCAGTTTGAGAGAGAAAGCCAAAAGGAAAGCACACGGAATTCCTGTGTTCTTCATGCTTGGAGCTGGTGGTTGTTGCTTTCTGGGGAATTTTGAGGTTTTTGATTAAATTGTGTGGAACCGTCAAGCCTATTTGAGTGTTTCCCACTCTCAGTCATAGAGAGTGGGAATAGAACGTAGCCATGTCTGGGCTGGGCTGTAGTGCTCCCTGCACTGAACAATAGCAATATACATCACTGATCATTGTTACATGTGCCCGTGCAGCATCAGAACTCATACAACGTGAGGTAGCACCTGGAGCACTCATCCTGCCAATCCGTGTGTTAAAGTGCTTCCCAGGAATTTGCGAGGTTGGGCAAGTTGATGCATCCCATAATCATAGCCTCCAAGACCTCAGTTTCCCTTCTTCTCAATGGAAGATTACCGTGGGATTTTCAAATGAAGGTGGGAGAGAGGAAAGGAGAAAGGTGTCCTTCCAACCCATAGAGCCAGCCCTGGATATTCTCCATTTGCAGCCTGATCCAAAGCTCTTCTTTGAGGGATGCCACAAATAAATGGGATCTGGTGTCCCTATGGGGGGGTGGGAGATCCCACAGAGTCCATTTTGGCAACAAATCTTAATGCCTTGCAATGGCATTTGCTGACTAACTGCAGTCTGTTCCACCCAACCGGGTGAATTTCACAAGTGCTATTGGAGATGGAGCTCCTTACCTCTCCACATTTCCAGGAATTGCCTAAGCAAATCTGCATGCAATCACCAGGAGATTATAACCCTGTGCTGTCCTCTGGCTTTGGACACGCCGGACAGAGGATGGGTATAGCTCAAGGGATATGAGCAGAGCTGATGGGACAGAGCAACTGTGTGTTAGACCACAGCTGTGCACATGTCTGGAGTTATTTTCCCCAGCCTTGTGCCTTCCAGCCTCTCTCCTTGGGAGCAAGCGATGTAGTCAAACTTGTAGGAATCCTATAGTTCTGAGCACGTAGGCTGGTAATCACTGAGACAGCTGAAGCCTTAGATTTGTTTGCATAGGCTCCTCCAGCAGAGCAAACATATGTCGGATCTAAATTCTGTTGAAAGGTATCTCATTTGGTAATTAAAAAAAAAAAAAAAAAAAACAACAGTGGAGAAACAATAGCACAAACTCTACCATCTGATTTCCAATACCCCGACTGCCTTCCCTCATACTTCTGCGGTTGCTCCATAGCTCTGAATGTCTCTTTAGTTTCCACACTGACAGATGCCCAAATTCCCAGTCCCACTGAACCCAGTGGGAGTTCTGAGTTGAAATAGAATTGTCATGGAAGATAGTTCTTCAACATTAAATGAACAGGCAGCAGGTAGGAAAACGATGTGCTCTGGGATATTTTCTTTTACTGAAGAAATCCAGCTTGCCTTTCCATGGCCCAGAAAACCTCTGGGAACCTCTGGGATGCAGCAGGAGCATCTTCTATAGTGGAGCATGGAAGTGAGGAAGGCTACGTGGCTGGTTTTTTCTACAGAGCAAAGGGTTTTCCCCTGGGCCTCGTATTGGGGTTTTTAGAAGTTCATCTGCTTGGGAAGAGGCTGATGCCGTCATCACTGGGAAGACTGAAGAGATTTCTTTTCACCCAGACATTTCAGCAAAACATTTGGGTGAGGCAAACGGGGGAAATCAATCTTCTACCATGGCTGATCTGTCCTAATGCAACCCTTCAGAATGAACACTGCCCAGAGGTGTAGGTGCCTCGGCTTGGCTCTGGTCCTGTCTTCAGGACTAACGTTTCTCATGGGCCATCCATCCAATCCATGGACCCCAAAAGCCTTCAAGTCATGAACCCCTGCCCCAGCCAACAGCTGCAGGTCATCCCCATTCTCCTGTCCATCCCCATTCTCGTGTCCATCATCTGCCTTTCTCCAAGCCCCCATCCCACCCCCTCCCAAGATCTCAGCCCTGGGAGCTCCTCTGCCATGGTCATCCCCGTCCGCCAGGCTTTGCAATGCTCTGCAGATATAAAAGTTTGAGTTTGGGGTCCTTTTCTCCCTCCTTTGGCTTTTTGTTCTGCAAAGAGTCCTATTTCTTCTTGGCTTTTCTTCTTTGCTGGGGTGTTGGGAAGATAATAGCACAGAACGAGTCTTTGCTGGAACGCTGGATTGTTGTCTCGACCCGAGGCTGCTGCCAAGTCACGGACACTGCTGCTTGTTTGCCACTCTCCTTCCTTTGCCTTTTAGTTCTTGCATTTTTTTTTTTTTTCCCCTAACTCGTTTAACTCTGGTGTTTTCCATCCTGTGGTCAGGGACTGCAGAGATTTGGTTTGTGTTCGTGTTTGTTCTGTCCCAGCCATGTGAATTTTGCCTTTTAGCTGTCCTCGTTGCCTTTGCTCTCCCTGTCTCATTGTTAAAGCCCCAAACTGAATAACCTTTCCCCTTCCACATGGACTTGAGTGTGAATTTATTTTTCTCTCTCTGCAACTTTGACCATTTTGGTGCAATATTTGTAATCTAAGTGCGCGTGACCAAACACCCAAAGCTGAAAGTGCACCCAAACAGTTAACTCCAATGCTGAAGACAAGAGAAGAGCAAAACCACAATGAGGGAATGCTGAATTGCATCAGCAGAACTCCTGCACGTTGGAGCATGTGAGGGCTTAGTGCTCGATAAGAGGTACTGCTAACTCTTATTTTGACATTCCCCTCTTAATAAGCGTTGCTCTTTATGCATTTTACAAAGTGGTTTATATGATTGCGTTGCTGAGAGGAAACAAAGAAATGCCAGGAAAACTTTATGTGGAGGATCTGTACTCGTAAAACGCTCGTAGGCTCCAGCAAACAGGAAAGCTTTCCCCATCTCTTTTTTTTTCTTCTTCTTTTTTTTTTTTTTTTTTTTTTTTTCTGTTTTGTTTTCATTCCCTGCCATTCAGCTTGCGAAGAAAACATGTTGAATATCTCTGAAAACCGGATTTGATGGTTTGAGACTGAACACAGATTCCTTCCCCTGCCACCGAGAACCCCGCGCATCCATCGTGCTGCAGCCAAGCACCAGCACTGAGCTTTGTGCTGGGAGCCTGTTGGCTTCCCAGTGTGGGACTGGAGCTCCTGTGGGCTGCCTTAGAGCTCGGCTGACAGCTGGCTCTGGGGCTGGCTTAGCCACTGGTGGAGTTGTGATTGGCCCCTTCCTGAGCCCAAGTGCGCTCAGAGCTCTGCTATGGAAATTAAAAGGCCCAAAGCTTTGCCCTTTGGGTGACAAAAGGCTTTTGCTCTTCCTTCACTGTTCTGCTCACGTGTGTGTGTGTGTTGCAAGCCATAATAATGTTGTCTTGGCAGCCCATGTAGAAATGTGTGATGTCCAAGCTCAGTGGAGAGGTGCAGGATGCTCTGGCCGCATCTGCTGGCGGGAATTTCCTCTCACTCTGGCTTTCTGGAGGAGGAACAAGAGGAAAGCTCCCTCTTTCTAGGCCCTCCTTCTGCAGCAGTGGCTGCATCTGAGAGCCCCAGTCAAGCTGGGCAGATCACTGGAGATGGTTGGGTGTAGAAGCCAAAGTTAGGATGCAAAAGCAAAGGGGCTGCCAAAGTGTTTCTTGCATTAGGCTATTTGGGTTTTATGGGGAGCTGCAGTCTTGGCAACAAGAAGCTTGTTGGATCCTTGTCTCTCCAGCAAATCACTGGAGAACTCCTGACATTGCTTCCCTATGTGATGTCCCACTGATGGGTTGGGGCTGGCCAACTCTCCCCTGGCAGAGTGTGGAAGCAAGAAGTATCTCACACAAGAACATTGGAGAGATATTCCTAGAAACCAAAACCGTGTTACCATAGAATCCTAGAGCCACAAAATGGTTAGGTGGAAGGGACCTTGAAGAATCATAGAACCAAAGAATCATTGAATGGTTGGAGTGGAAGGGATCTCAGTGATGACAGAACTAAAGAACCATGGAATGGTTGGGTTGGGAGGGACCTTAAAGATCATGGAACCATAAAATGATTGAGTTGGAAGGGAATCTAGTGATCGTAGAACCAAAGAACTGTGGAATATTTGGGTTGCAAGAGACCTTATAGCCCCAGCCCTGCAGTGGTGTGGGTGCCCCCCAACCAGTTTAGGCTGCCCAGGGCTCCATCCATGGCCGTGGACACCTCCGGGAATGGAGACATTGCATGAATTAAGCCATTTTATGAAAAAATATGATTTCTGGTACTTTGCTCAGAAAAGGTGTCCCTCATTCTTGTTGCTTTTCTACCAGTCCACACAGGAGGAGTGTACTAATGTCTTCCTTTGACTTTTCAGGAGACAACAGAGACTTCCTGGTGGGAACAAGTCCCAGCAGCACGCAGACCATCAGCAAGGTGGTACCAAACACAACAGAGATCACCAGAAGCTCTACCAAGGAGGCCAGGCCCCTCACTCCTCTGGTAGACCAGGCCACCACGGCTACAGCCAGAACCGGCGATGGCACCACAACCAGAAGCACTCGCCCAATGACAAAGAAACGCACAGGAACACCAAAGAGACTGAGAATCTGAAAATCGAGGACACCTCCACTGGCACAGGGCACAGTCCTGTGGAGACGCAGCGCAGTCCAGAGGCGGTGGAGAAGCAGCCCCAGCCATACAGCCCAGAGGTGGAGACCAAGAGGAAGGACAGCATTCACGAGCGCGTTGGGGAAAGGCCCAAGATCAACCTGCTTCAGTCTTCCAAAGACAGGCTGCGGAGGAGACTAAAAGAAAAGGTATTATTTCTTAGGTGAACTTTGGCTTTCCCCTTCTCCAAGAGCCTGGTGGTTGGCCGTGCTCCATGCAGAGGTGGGCTGGGCTCAGGAGACATTTCCGTGAGTGCACACAACTTCTCTTGGTCTCCTGGTGTCATTGCTTGTCTTGAAGTGTCTTTGTGCTTCTTTGGGAGGCCCTTTATTGACACAGTGTTAAGGCTTGTTCAATGAGGTTGCTCCCAAGGGGAGTTTTCTAAGATCAGGAACTCTTCCATCGCTTGCAAGGATGGGGCAAGCGTGGGCTCTCCCTCCTCAGCAGTGATCTCAGCAGATTGCCTCCAGAATAGAGGGCTCATCTGCTCCCAGAGAGGTCTAAAAAAGGCAATTTGTGTCTGCAGTTAAAGAATTAGAGCTTAATACTATGCTTTGAATGCTGAATGTTTGGAATCAGCTACTCTCACGTTGATATGCATTTATCTCAGTAATGAATTGAAACTCTCTTATCTTTCCCCCTTCCTTCCAACAACCCAACAATAACAAAACCCTTGCTTGCAAGTGACGGAGGAGAAATCCTTTCTGGAAACAATATTCAGACTCAGATTTCTGAGGAATTTGGAGATGATATCTCCGTTTGCCCCCTGTGCAACTCAGATTCCTTCTCTCGAGAATCTCTTTTCAGACTGGAAAATGCATTCATGGGGGTATCTCCAGTGAGATTTTCAAAACGTGCAGCAAAAATAACCTGAACATATACAGTTCCATGGGAGTGCATGTTGGGAATGTACACCTTTGAGTGCATGTGCATTTACTATTTATGTATGTGGCACGAGGGGGAGGAAGAGATTTTGTTCATTATTTTTATGTTATTTAAAGCAACGGGAGTAGAGCAGAGACTTTCAGAGCATTCACTTCAGTGCCTGTCTTGTGGATTTAGAATCTTGTAAGAAAGACTTCCCATAGGCACCCACTTTTGGGTGTGTGTAGTCAACACAACTGCTTTGTCAGTGGGCGCTGGGGATGTCCAAAGAATTGCTCCAGATTTGCTCTGTGCAATATCTGTTAAGACTGAACTAAGGGAGGAGAAGGGAGCAGACCAGAGCAGGCTGGACGCATGGGGAGAGATGGACAGATGCTTGATAAAATTTCAGAAGAAGGCAGAATGCCAGTCTGAGCTGGGCATTCCAGCTTGGAGCCTTGAGCACATCTCCCTGAGCTGATGAGGAAGAACCTGGGATTGAGTACTGGGCGAAATGAGGAAACCAAGCATTTATGGGTTGGGGCTCATACACTGCTTGCTTTCAGTGCTGAGATGGGGATGCTCTGATTTTTTTGGGGTCTGTGTGTATGTCTTCCCAACCCCTTTCCCCCTTTGCACTTTGTGGAAGGACAAGGGCTGACCTATCTGTTTTCTCCTTGTGTAACAGACGCCTTGTCTTTCCCTTTTCACGGACCAGGACGAAGTCACGGTGGAAACCACCCATCCTGAAAAGAACAAAATGGACAAATTAATTGAAATCCTTAACAGCATGCGTAACAACAGCAGTGACGTTGACTCCAAGCTGACCACCTTCATGGAGGAGGCTCAGAACTCCACCAACTCTGAGGAAATGCTTGGGGAGATAGTTAAAACCATCTACCAGAAAGCAGTGACAGACCGCAGCTTTGCTTCCACGGCTGCCAAGCTCTGTGACAAAATGGCCCTCTTCATGGTGGAAGGAACCAAGTTCCGGAGTCTGCTCCTCAACATGCTGCAGGTAAAGAGATGGAGTGATTTAGTTAGGTGCTTGCAGCTTCACCCCACCTGATCCTACCGTGCTTTTGGGCAGGAGCTGAACTTTCACCAAATTCCTTTCAAGTCCACGTGATGAGAAAAGCGTTTCTCCAGTTTTATTGGTGCCAATCCTTAATGGCTAGCTGTCATCTTCTGCCATCTCCACTGCCTTCAAGTTGTGTGGGCAGCAGCACCCACATCAGCAGTGCTCAGTGGGGACGTTTGGTTGTGCTTGGATGTTTTTTTTTTCTTTTTTTCTTCTTTTTTCTCAGATTAAAACTTGGTCTGGAAACACATATATTTTGGCAACAGATTTCCATGTGGAAATGAGAGGAATGCTGATAAGACAATACTGTGTTGTCTATCAGATTCAGGGCTCTGCTACGCTAGCAATCAGTCCTTTACCATGGGCTGGTCTTCCATCTCCCTCTTGTTTGTAGTAATTCTGGATCCTCCAGCCAGGGTGCTCAGCTGCTTTCTTCAGGTACCTTTGACACGTGCATCGCAAAAGCCAACTTGTATTTCTTCTTGTATCTCTCAGTATTTTTCTCTGAGACACTGCTCTTGCTTTTGAGACTCTGGCTGCTGGAAGGGCTGAGAATGAGGAGCGTGGGGGTGAAAATGAAGGGATCCAGGTGAGGGTGGACATGGGTACCAGAGCACACCAAGGAGGGCAGGATGGCTCCTTCCCCACCCAACAGCCACAGTGTCATTGGAAAGGGATCTCCACAGCCAACATGGCTTGTATTTCCTAAGAGTGCAATGAAGGAAGACTTCTTAAGTTCAGTTTTATGACTTGAGCACCAAGAAACCAACATATTTGTCATTTTTTAAACATTAAGGGGTTTTAATGTTTGGTTATTAGGTCTTTTAGGTTAGGTCATTATCTGGTCTTGTATCATGGTGATGCTTATCAACAAGGGAAACAGACAGAGAAGGAACAATAATGGAAACCCCTTCCAGCAGACCCAGCAAGCTGATGTGTGCAGCAGCATTGTGTGCAGTAATGAATGGATACACATCCAGCTCACTGTGGCACAAGAGCAGGATAAATAATAGATCTCATTTCTCCAGAGAGTCCCTGAGTTCTTCCCAGGAGCACAGAACTCAGCTCGCCGTGCTCAGGGTGCAGGGAGGGAGCACAGTGCTTGCTTGGCAAAGCTGCAGAGAAATCAAACAGAAATGAGAAAGCACTTCGTTTTGATAGTGAAGCATCATGACATTCTGCAAACGGTTGGCTCTTTTCTTTTTCCAAACGGAAGAATCAGTGCACCCACACAGATCTGTGGCATCCTTTGGTCAGCCCCACATCAGTCTTTTTTGTGGCGCATTCAGGTTTGGAGATGGAACCATGTCCAGGGAACAGAAGCTGTGAAACTGAGGAGTTGGCAGTGCTTAGAAAAACCCACTATTGCTGAGCTCCAGCCGTGACATCTCCACCATCAGACAGATGTTTTCCAACAGCTATTTCTAGATCATTTCCCATTAATTAAAAACCTCTAATAAAACGTTTGCTCCAGGGCTGGATTTTTGTCTCTCCAGCACCTTTCAGACTAATCCAATCCCCGGACCTAAGGAGCTCACTGCACCAGGGTGTGATAAATCGGGATTGCAGTGCCCCTCTGAGCCACGCTCCCCCATATGGTGCTGGCAGATGCCTCTGTTTTGAAGGGCTGGGCAGCATGGACTTGTTTGTCCTTTTTTGTTAGGAGCAAAATGGCTGTGAATCTCCTCCCTGCCAACAGCTCCTCTGAAGAGCCCCTCCTGGCTGAGACAGGGCCAATGAATCTAGGGTGCCAAAGTCTATGGTATCTGCATTGGGGTGAAACAAGAGGATGGATGTTGGGAATACCCTGGGTTACATTTTGTCCTCTCTGTGTGTTTTGGTACCAAATTCAAGCTCTGCTGTTGAGTTTGGATGCTAGGAACCCATTGGGATGCTGTGGGATGGGTGGCTGGGCACCTTTGGGGAGATGCTGCTGACCCCAAGCTTGGTGCTGGGCCTGGTTTAATTTGGAGTTTCCTCTCATTGGGTTTGCTTCAGATTTCTCCTCATTGGATTTGGTTTGGAATTTCTCTTCATTGGGTTCAGTTTGGAATTTCTCCTCGTTGTGTTTGGTTCGGGATTTCTCCTCATTGAGTTTGGTTTGGGATTTCTCCTTGTTGGGTTCAGTTTGGGATTTCTTTTTGTTGAGCTCCGTTTGGGATTTCTCCTCCTTGGGTTTGTTTTGTTACCAGGAGTGATCTGGGGCTTTGTGAGCCCTTGTGATGGGCACAGCTGAACTGGGGACCTTGGGGGACAATGGTATGGAAAATGTCTTGGTGGATAGATATGTGGTTTCTTTGCCCCTCTGTAGGTCCCTTTGTAATTAATAAACTGGAGGCTCCTGCAGGAGATTTTTGCTTGTCATAGCATCATCCACTGGCTTCTGCTGGCCGTGGTGCTCTTCTCTTTGGTGGGGAGGTGTTGAGCAGTTTCCACAAACCCTCCACATGTAACATTAGTTGGAGTATTCCTCTGGTGAAATCTCTGTGCTCTTTATAGCTGAGATGTGTCTGCATCCGAGCTATGCAGAGCAGAGTATATTATTAGAGAGGACATCACTGGGGCTGTAATTTTACACTGCTCCCCTTAGCAACCCGGCCAACAACACATCAAACAGAAGGCTGATACTTTCCTTAGGGAAAAAAAAAAAAAAAATAGAAATAAAAGGTGCATCCCTGCACAGCGCCCAGCACAACCCATCGCAGGGCTCACACGTGCAACTCAGCCTGAGATGAAACCTCTGCATTGAGAGATACCTCAGAGCCAGGGGCCAGAAGGGCTATTGCTGTTGCACACCTTTCTGCATGCCCAGTTGCATTCCCCATTGCATACCAAACTGTATGCTCTAATGCATACAATTCTGCATGCCCTTCTGCATACCCAGTTGCATGCTCTACTGCATACTCCATTGCATACCTAATTGCATGCCCTATTGCATACCCCATTGCATACCCAGTTGCACGCTCTGTTCCATACGTGTTTACATACCCTTACATTCCAGTTGCATACCCTAGTGCATACCCAATTATAAACCCTACTGCATATCCTTGCAGGGATTCTTCTGTGCTCTTCAGCCTTGTGCTTGCTCAGACACAGAATTTGACCTGAGAGGTTCTGGTTGCTTAACCTCCTGACACCCCAGTAAGAGCTGTTCCGTGGCTCGGTTCTGTGCTTCTCTGTGGTTTCAAAACCTGAACTCAAATCCTGAGACTTTTGGCGAGATTCACACGGGTGTTTGTGTCTATGCTGGCTGGGGATGTTCAAAGGAAGCAGTTCTGGAAAGGCGCAGCTAGGAAGGTGGTAAAGCCTGGTCTTGTCTTCTGTCAGACAAGAGACTTTATAGAAGAGTAAAATTGAGCTGGAATCCTTTTTGTGTGGGAATGTTGTGGCATTAATACTGGAGAATCGACCGACAGATGATGGTTGGATTTGTGATCTTGAAGGTCTTTTCCAAGTTGAATTGTTCTTTGATTCTTACTGATTCCCTTTGATAGATCAGAATGCAAAGGGCAGTGTTTGCCATGCTGAGCACAAGGATGTGGGAAGAGTAAGCTGGACCATGGCAGGGCTCAGCCCCCCTGTAAGCTCAGGATGTTGCTTGGGGTCCCACCATCTCCCAGGAGAGCATCCCCCCCAGGCTGGGCATGCAGCATCCCCCTGCTCCTGGTGCATCAGGCATGGACGGATCCTGCAGCACTGAGCAGAGGCTCTGCTGGGCTCTAGGTGGAGACTGTGGACTGTGCAGCCTGCCTACAGCCTGCCTGCAAACCCAGCCACATCCAGGCAACTGCTGCCCACTGTGGCGAGGATACTCAGGGCTGAGTGAGGTATCCCCAGACTGGGGGGGGGGGGAAAAATGTAGAAAAAAACCTGAAAATCCATCCAAATGCAAAGAAATTCAGGAATTCTCCCAACATTAAGAACTCCTTGCACCAGGCTGGATGGAATCTTAAAAGCTGCTCTCATCTCACTGGTTTTGTTGGGGAGAGGACTCATTTTCTCTTAAAAGGCTCAAATCCATCCTCAGGACATGGGATGAGGTTTGCCAGCCCGGGGACTCAGCCGAGTTAATGCAGCAGCTTGCCAGGCCATCTGCTCCCACTGCCCTGCATCAATCCGGGTCAGACTGCTGCAAGATTGGGAAATCCCTGCTCCCATGTTGGCCCCCCCCATCAATAATGTGGGGGCACAGAAAATGTGTTTGAGTGTAAGAGGTGGATCCAAGCTGCTGACAATGTCTCTGTGCCCCCAGGACTGAGATGTTTGGGGTGAGCCCCTGACAAAGCATCACCTGACCTGGAGACCACCCTCCAGAACCCCAAAGTGGGGTAAAGTGAGGGATTTCCCAGGGCTGGTTTCTGACCCCATCAGCAGGGAGCAGGCGTGCAGTGTGCTCAGGTGAGGAGCAAGATGCACTGCATTATTTATATAAGAAGGGTGGAAGGAGCATATGGAACAGTGCTGTCTGGCACTGCTGGAAACCCAGCACTGATATCTCCTCTGGGCCAGCAGAACCAGGAGGTGAAACTGGAGACAGAGAGCTTGCAGTGTGTGTAGGGTATGGACTTAGGGTATGGATGTTCACCTGTGTCACCTGGGTCCCAGTGGAGAATGTGTTGGCCAGCATCACCTGGGTCACACTAGAGGAGGATGTGTTGGCCAGCATCACCTGGGTACCAGTGGAGAACGTTTCAGCTAATGTCATCCAGGTCCCACTGGAGGATGTGTTGGCCAGCATCACCTGGGCCACACTGGAAGAGGATGTGTTGGCCAGCATCATCTACTGGAGCAATTGGGAACAGATCAGTGGATCTTTTTCATCCCGAAAAAGAAAAAGAAAAAAAAAGGCTAGCCAAGGAAAATATTTGCTGTAGTAGAAGTTCCCTGTTACAGATCCTTCATAGGATCTATAAACATTAGCACCCAAGAAAGACTTT